CCCGTCCACCCCCGCCCCCCCACCACCTAACCTACACCCCACTTTTCTCTTTAATCTGTGATATTCTAGATCTCTAGGCGTCTCGTTACTCAAACATTATAAGAAAAACAAAATACAAAAAAATCGTTACGGAATTACGGTAGCAGAGATGGCTGGCCAGAGCGATATATGAAAAATGAATGGGAGCATTTCGGACGTTCTTAATACACGATATCTATTCTTTTAACAGTTCAGGGTGAGCGTTCTTAAGCAGAAAAAAGCTGTTTGATGTGGACCATTTCGTGTGCAACCACAACGATGCGATGATATCTTTTCCCCAGCCAGTAAATCATCATTAAGCTTCGCTACGAAAGCCATGCAGTCAAAGAAATGCAGTAAGAGTTACCTTACGAAAGCCCTGTATTCTTCTGTACCATTCGGTGCGAAAGGTCTGCCAAAATCTCTTATGAAAGTCCTGTTGACATGCATTACTAGACAAAGATTTTCCTTGTATTGTTACAAACACTCTGGTAGGAAAGGCATGTAAAAGTTTTTTACGAAAGCCCTGCTGATGAGATATCTGAGACATTAACTATTACACTATAAACGTTGGGGTTACGAATGCTCTGTAAAAGTCTATACGAAAGCCGTGTATTTTGGAGGAAATCGTTACGAAAGCCTCGTGAAAGCTATTTACATGGCTTTCGTATTAAAAAAAGAGACAGCTTTTGAACTGTAACGAGCTGATAGGTAGCCTTTCACGCTACTCCAGAGAGAAATGTTTTGTTTTACACCTCCCTAATATTCTGCTCCTATTTGCGACCTTATATGTCTGATGTAAACTAAAACTGACGAGCGAAGGGAGGCGCGACATTCGGTAGTGTCGAAGAAGCAACTACAAATCTTCGAATCTCCTCTGATTCAAACAACTCAGCTTTAATTCTGTTCTTTCTTTTCACGGTGAACAGACGCGTTTTAAGTAAGAGGTGGAAGTGAATGAACGACTCTGAAACTCAGTTTTGTCTTGGTGTAGAAAGGTGGTAAAACGCATTGTTTTCTTCTCTAACTTAAACAGAAACAGAAAAAATAACGGTGCCATGCTCATACTCTGCATTGTTTTTTAATAATTTAAACGTGAAGATTTGCTCGTTTGGTGATTAAAAATATTTTTTGTTTAAGTAACAAGACAGCTATACGTTGTGTATGTCAATGTCAACAGCCGTCAGAAAGAACGGAGAGAACTACAGTGTACATAAATTACAGGTTTTTTTTTTATAACGTCAAGAGAATATGTTCTAACGCAGACAATCTGTACAGTTTATCGTAACCGACAGCGAACAAAATGGGTAGCCTATTCAGCGTTTTACATTCCGGAAGCATGGCTGAAGGTGAAGGCTATGCAAGTTATTTTTGTCAAAAGAGTTTCCAGGACTTTGATAGCCTTAAAATTATCGACGAGCTAAATTCAATACACGAAATAATTCGAATGGAACGCTGACTTTAGTGGTGTTTCCAATTTGGAACGATCAGACAATATCGCATTTCCCTTTCGAAATTATTGCTTCAATGATATGCATTAATGGTTTGAAAATAAAACAATCATTTACAGAATACCTCAACCGTGAGTCCGAAGACACTTCTTATCACTCCTCGATTTTAGCATTGTAGAACCTTCAAGTAAATCAGTCAGCATGGAATACACTGGTAGTATTAGTTTTGGCAGATTTCCAGTAACGATACAAAGACCACCACAACCGGCTGGATGCCACAGAGAAATGCAAGAAACTCCATACGACTTTTATAAATTTATTATCTTTGCTGTACTCACGGCAAAGCTAAACGAAATAATAAATTCTATAATATCACGTATTTCTGGTATAAGTACAACATCTACGTCACACAGCCTTTTGGCCGACTGTTTTTGGAGACGCTTCTATTTTAATAACATGTTGCTGTGTTCGACCTAGCTTCTCCTTCAGATCATCAATCAGTTTTTCATTTTTTTATCAATTGCGACACCAAAAGCATTGTCTGCTACAACTACTCTACAAAGCCAGAGCATATCAATGGTTGTTGTACATCATTGTTGGTTTCAACTGATGATAGAGCATTCTTAACAGCAGTATCCATGGTTAAATCATTTTGTTCCTTTTGTGACTCTGTTGTCTGTCAAATTTTTTCCAGAAAACTATCAGTGGCACTTTGATCTAACGCTAACTCGGTCTTTACTCCTTAAGTCTACTCCTCAAGGTTAAGTTAACTCCTAAGGATTAAGTTTACTCCTCAAGTCTATTTTCAATTTTGTTTTGTCACTTTTATAAAAACGAAACATCCACATATACTGTTAAAAAATACGTATACTGGTTACAAATATAAATCAACAAAATACAGGAATAACATATCTCAGTAAAAAATAATGTATAAAAGACGTTTAGGAGAAGTATTTTAGAAAACTGTTACTCAATCACTTGCTTGTTGAGGTTCACGATACGGTTCAGTTCCATTTGCTTCCGACAGACAAGGAACAACGGAAATTGAGAATGGTGGATCTCGTTGTTCATTCTGAAAGTGGAAAACGTTTTACTTCAGTTGTAGTTTTATACTTCCATTCGAGCAGTTGAAACTATGGCAGACTAGCATTCGTCATGTTTTACAGTTCTACGATTAGCAGCGTTAAGTAGATGACACAATGAATGCGAATCGAGCAGAAGGTGACGAATCTAATATTTTGTTTACTCACCAGTTCATTCCCAAATTCTAAAAAAGCGCGTGATAATAATTCTAAAATTTAAAGATCATCCATTTAAATGGCTGAGCCTTCAGTGAGTTTTACCTTTATCATTAGTCCGAGGTGTTCCACTTTCATCTGCAATATCAAAAAGTCTTTTAGCTGAAATGTTAAAATAATCTCGAAACCTGATAATCACTGTCATAGCCTGACTTCACATTCGCAGCATTTAACCCTGATGCAAACTTAAGAAAATTTGAATGAGATGATAACTGATCATAAGAAATAACGAATGTTTGCCGAATGTTTCTCATTCGGCATCCTGGTTAAAAATAGGACGATTAGAGGGCTTGAGTAGTACGACGACCGTTCATTCAGTTCGAAGACTAAGCGTATGAGACGGTGCTGTTTGCTCAGGTGTGTGTTGTCGATGCAGGGTTCGTGGGTTAGGCGTTTGTTTTCCTATCAAATCCTCTATATATTGAACTGGTTTAAAATGAACACCTTGTTTCATGGTTGGTATCGATTGATTCTCATCCATGTAGCTGTTATTATATGCCTGAGCCTATTTGGGTTCGAGGTAGCGCTCCGATTCGCATCTACCATACGAAAGTACTTCACATCTGCTTTGTCCTGCGGCAGACGATAACATAAGTCTTCAGCATCTCAAACATACGTTTGATCACATGAACCCAGTATCCATAAGGTATTATCCTCCTGCTGTTTCCTCACTACCTGTAAAGTCTCACCTTAACACCAGAAAACAGCTTTGGCCACTTTCTATGTCATGCTATAATCGATGCTACAATGAACCTGTGGTCTCTCTCTCTCTGGAAACTTGAAACTTGAAAACGTATTACCCTTTGCTTCGTATGATAGTTGAGTTTTAAAATCGACTAAATACTTCCAATATTGTCTTACATGAAAGACAAAATGCTCAACGCTCCCTACAATAAAAGGAGCAAACACAATATATAACGAACACTAGAAAAAAAGTAATATTAATGTGTATCAAATTATACAAGATACGGTGGCTCCTGAGTGCTATAAGGTAGCGTCCTCTTCAACAGTCATGCATTATGGAACTTTCTGGAAAAAGTGAAAAGTATCGAGATGTATGGTTTCAGCACCTTCTGCTTCAAAGGACTACTCTCAAATTATACAAATCACATGCCGTGTTCCGAACGTGCAGTGTGCATCGTGGAGTTACCATGGTTATTGATGTAAATGATGGTATGAAGAACCATCAAAGACTGGCAGTATAAACTGAGAGCAGAATAAATCGAATGTAATCTACACTCAAAAGAAAGCCAAATGTGTAAATGAATAAGTAACGATTATCTGTGATTTCCGTAGTGCGTTGATTTCGACACCTTCAGAGAAACTAATGGATTTGTTTGCTGTTTCTAGGCAACCTCCCGAACAAGCGGGTTCGGAATCGGGATCGGGTTAAATCTGCAGGGCTCTAGCTAAAAGTCCTTAGCCACGTTTTTCTGCATGAGTTGTCTAGCCACGTTAAGTCGGCATGAATTCTTGAAGTAACTGAAGACTAAATTACGAAACCTTGAAAATTTTATTATGATGTACAGTTAGAAGTTTTGGGCTGGGCTGATGTGTTCCAGGAAAATATAAGGACAATCCAGAACTTATTTCAGTTGTTATGTGGCGCGAAGGAACGGTTGAAGTGAACTCAGAATTCATCTACCCATTCATCTTACAAGAGTAGGATAAATTTTTCTCGTTCTGTATAATCATTTCTTTGTACAAATAATGCGCTGAACAGAGATTTGCAACCTTTGTCCGAGTAGTCTGATACCGGGGGGTTCAATGTGAAGAAGTGTAAAGTACTATTATTTACGAAAAACCGCAGGCTTGTTTCACCGATACTTCTTATGAATAGTGTCCCGTTGAGTGATGTATATTAACATGTCCATTTAGGTTTGTTGTTGTCAAAGGATATGACTTGGACTAAATACATGATAGGCTTGTAGCTAAAGTTAATAGTCTGATAGGATTGATGACATTGACTAAATGGTCGTTAAACAGACAACCGCTTGATATAGTTTGTAAAGGCTATGTATTATCTACTCTTATTATGGTGCTACATTGTATTCTTTGACCATTGATTATAATTTGCTAAACCTTGATGGTATACAATAGAGAGCAGCTCGACGGCTTCTCCACGTAACGGTACACTTCGCTGATCAAGCTTTTGAAAAGTTTTTTTTCTATATCGAAAGTTTTGAACAATGATTGGATGCAGTTTTCTATTCTGAGAAACCACTTGAAACTAGTTTTTGAAAAACGTTCATTTTTCATCCAAAAAACTTGATTTGGATTTTTTCAGAAACCAGGTTTTTAATGTTTTAACTAAAAATATTTTTAAAACAAATTTGTAAAAATATACTTTTGTACAGAACTGAATTCTCTACAAAATAGCGTAATTGTTTTTGAGTTTACTTGCTATGTACAATTTGTACATAGTTGTACAGTTTCCGACTTACTGTCCAGGTTTTGAGCTCTTATTTTGATACAACAACTTGATTTTTGTGGAGATCGATGAAATATACAAAGAACACAGGAAGCTGTGAAACTCAACACTTTACCATCATGTTAAGTGCCTCAAATATGGTTGACAAAAAAGTGCGTAACGCCGTGACGTTTTTATTTTGCATTTTTCCCATCGGATAGTCCGTCGAGTACTCTATAAATTTTGCTGTAGAAGTTTCCTTTTCACATAATTAACTTCACAAGAAATTAAAGAATTTCCGAGAGCGCTCGAAAAAAGGGTCTTTTTCCATGACGCTGTGACGCGACACTAAAATCCTTCTCAAAGCCTAATAGAACTTCGGACTTCGTTTTCACAGCATACGTAGAGCATGATGAACTGCGTCGATTCACGTTTGAGCGAACTTTCTAGCTACTTTAGTTTCCGAGATAACCAAAGTTTAGTGCGTCAAAAACGTAAGACTGTGACGTTTGGACAAGCCGTCGACTAGTCTTGGAGCAATAAGTAGAACATCTACTTCGCTCCTGCTGGACGACTTACATTGATTGCCAATTCAAGTACACTTCTTACAAATGCGATTAATTTTGTTCTTTCGTATAACACGTGGCCATACAGCTCCTTACTTACGGAAACGTATACAACTCTCAATTTCTAATTCTAATTGTAAAGTACGTGTTGGTAATCGACGAAGGTAAGTTAGGAGTTTGACTACCAAATCACTACTTACCTTGCTAAGTTGCCTATAGAACGGCACCAGATACCCCATGAGATTACTATAATACCCAAACTAACACCTTTCAAGAAAAAGCCTACTGCTCGCTTTTACTCATTACATTTGACATATGATTTCCGAAGCTGTTTTCGTATGAATGTACTGCGGAAACTTGAAGTACCTTACTCAAGATCTCGAATAGAACTTCCTCCTTTGAAACGTTGTCTGAAGGCATAAGAGCGTCTACCAATCTGTGAAACAGACCTATGCACATGTGGATTGCGCGAAACTCTAAAGCATCATTTTTCCCACTGTGTTTTGTATGCTGTGTTTGTATTATTTCATATGCATGATTGTCAGAACGGATTAAAAATCACAGTTATTATGGGAATTCAGGAGGATTCAGAACTCAATAAAAAAGGTTAACAAATGAGTCATAGCATAATTTTGTTTCGTTTCATATGAGTTTCATACACATAAATGTGTAAATAGAGACAAAGAAAAGAGAACTATAAACTTTTTTCGTGTACTGCAAATAAAATTCAGGTGGATTCAGAAGTCAACTGAGTTGTTTTTCTTTCTACGAACAGCTGTTCAGATTACTGTAGCTTCGAATGAGTCTCTCGACCCTTTCTCCTTATACCCAGGTCTAAGAAAACGACACCGTTAACTGGCTGTTAACGGTAAGTTAACGTGCCGTAAACGAACCGTTTTCAGAACCTAAAACTCGTAACTTTTAGGGTCTTAAACAGATCGTTTTTTCACTGTTTACGGATCGTTTTCTTACCATTTACTGGCCGTTTTTGTCGTTTTGAGAACGTTAACGGGCCATTTTTTAGAAGTTATATTAACTCCTAGAAAACTTTCCTCCGACTTCGTGATATTGACTTATCTGTCGAATCTATCCTTTCTCACTAATCGACCTACTCCAGGTACTAGACTGTACACATCATCTAACGCCACTATAATTTTTTTTTCCTTACTTGAAAATATCGAAATTCGAACACCAGAACTTTTGTTTGCCAGTCTGTCACTGTAACTATATGGCCATATCGGTTCGAAAACTATGATATATGATGGAGGAAAAACGAAAAACACACATATATTACATTCTTTAAACTGTAAACAGGCCGTTAACAGCCAGTTTACGCCGTTTTTCACATATATGATTATAGATACTTTTGACCGTAAATAGGCCATTAACGGCTAGTTAAAGGACTGTTTTTAGGCCGTTTTTTAGGACTTTATGCTAAAGTGATTTTAGAATGATTTTTGAATGTTTCATGACACATAGAGTACTTGGGGGTAATTAGAGACACTCTTGGAAATTTCATCCAAAAAACTTGAT